CTACCCACTACCACACCAAATCTCACCAAAACAAAACATAACCACGCTAATACTAACTTCAAACTCATTCCTGGCATTCCTTTTTCTTATCTCTGCATTTTATTAAATTTCAAAAGCAACCATCACTGATTCAATAATCAACCCCCATAAACCCATACCAATCCAGCTTACAATCAAGTTGGTACTTACCTGTGGTGTCCGTGCCATCCCCCACACATCTTTAATGAGGCTCTCGAGATATCTCTACTTTTAGACGAGTAAGTACATATAATGTAGATATTTATTCCGTACTACTTTAAACAACCCAATACATTCCAAAACCAACTCAATCTTGTTATCACTTGTTTCAGAGTATAAGTATACGATGAAGATTGATAAAGGACTTTCTATGACTTCCAGGAGACACATGAAGGATTCGCACAGAACTATATCAGATCTAGAAACGACTCAGACTCGCACCCCAGAACCTCAACTCGAACCTCTAATCAATAAACCCGACATCAGCCTGAATGATGATTTGTCTCTCGTTGAGTATATTTGGATGAGAGGTCGTTATCCTCCCCTAGGGCACAACACTAACCCATTGAACTAACTCAACTCAACCCAACCCACTACTATATTCAACAGAGGCATTAGCTTAGATCACTTCACCTCAACTTAATATGCGTTGGGTTAGTATTGCCGTGGTATTGGGTTAGTATTGCGACAATATTGTGTATACTTTATCTATTTGGGTTGGTGTTGTGCCCCGGGGAAGGGATAGTACCTTTCAACCATACATATTCGACTAAAGACCGATTTTGAAGAGGACGATGGGAGAATTTATTCAACTCTGCTTCTTCGGGTTAGTATTGGGTTAGTATGGGTTAGGTTCTCTTTATCGTATGTCATCTTGAGACTGTTTACATACTCATAATCTAAATGCTAATTTGAGACTGTGATTTCTACTTCGAGATTTAATCGCGTTCGCTGCGATCAGTGCCAGGCCGATAAACATTGCAGCACTACACTCCTGTAGATAATTCACTTTGATGTGGAGGCCGGCGAGGACACTACATTGGGTTAGTATTGGGTTAGTATTGGGTGCTACTCTTCAATATCGTAGTGTTCTTTGATCAACTTAAGGAATGCGTCCCAAAACTCATGATTATCTCCTCTGCGAACATCAAAGCTAATCTCTCGTCTCCTTAACCCCTCTGGGATGTCCTTCAGTAAAGGTCTAAACCTATTCATTGATTCCGCGTCAAGTAAGACTTTACTCTTGTCTATCCAGTCTATTGTGATTGCAGGAACATCCATAATCCGCAGTAGATACAGTAGCAGCTCAAGTTGGTCAAGTATCTTATCCTCAGTCGATTCTCCGCAAATTATCATTCTATCTAAACTAGTGATTCTTTTCAACGGCTTTAAGTCCTTTAGACATTGTCTGTAGTCCATCGACTCCTCGCCCGTGCTAGTGCAAATCGAGTTGAGATCTGGGATAATATAGCACGAAAAATCAGCCATTCTTTCCTTCTCACACATATATTTGGTAGCAACTTTAACTACACCCGGCATTTCTAACAATGTACACAGATAGTCTATGAGCACCTCGACGTGCAGGTCTTCTAATAGCTGCATTCTACTCTCCATTGAACCCAACTCAAGGGTCCAGTCTATGGAGTTGTCTGAATAAAGATGTTCTACTATTGGGCTTCCTACAACGAAATGAAATAGATTCAGCCGCTTCAAACAAAAGCGCATTCTTTCCTCTATCGAGTTAGTATTGGGTGCTGAGCTAGTTGGGCTAGATTGGTCAGAAACACCAAATTCGCATGCCTCTGTCTGTGGTTTGTCGTCAGGCAATATGGGAGCTAAAGCAGTTAGTGCATTGGCATTTGTTTTTTGCCACATTGCTATTGGGTTAGAATCTGAGCTACTATCACTACTACCCAATACCACAGCAAACCCTACCAAAACACAACCCAGCCATACTAGCGCTAACTTCCAACTCATTCCAGGCATCTACTTTTTTCTTATCTCTACATTTTATCTATTTCAAACCCCGTCATCACATTGATAAATCCAAGCAATTCTAATTTACAAACCAACCCAAAGCAGTCGAACTCAAACAATGACTGTATCTAATTTCTATAACCGACACCACACATTGCTACACTATTACTTGCTTTTCTTATCTCTCAAGCTTCTTAAAATTCAAAAATAACCATCACAGCAATAATAATAGCATTTATTTGCCAGCCACTAACTTAATCGCCAAATTACGCATCCCATCATCCTAACGCCACCGTAATACTAACCCAACCCAACCCAATTCTTAAAGATGGACACTTGACTACGACCTGGGCCTGGGTCCGGATCCAAATCTTAATTGGGTTAGTATTGGTACTGTCGGGATAAGTTGTCCAGATAAACACACCCAGTCTCCTCTTCTTGCGCATCACTCCTATCCCACTATATCACATCCTACTCAACCCAACTCAACTCAACTCAACCCAACCCAACCTAATATCTTAATATGATCTTATTTTATCTCGGGATGCGATTTGATTAGGCGGCTGGAGGTGTAATTAGGTTGGCTATGTCAGCTTCAGATGGACTGTCACTTGAAAACGATTGCTTCTCTTCCTTCTCTCTACTCTCCTTCTTCTGTTTGTCATCCAGAATTGTTATAGGCTCTGTTTGGGTGCTCTTGTCTACTTTAGTTGGTTTAGCCGGTTTAGTCAGATTATCTGGAGTAGCATCACTTGGCTTGCGAATTAAGCGCGCATAAACCCAATCGTACACTCCGTATGTTTTAAGCAGCCAACATATTAAAACAACAACTAGCCAGACAACAACCCAGTTAAGCCAAGACAGCTTTTTCAGCCACAACCTCATCATCATACCTTTTCTTATCTCAAACTCTACTTAATTTGCAATCCCAGCGCCGCCTAATAATCAGTTTGATCATCTGCCACCTTAATACCACATTAACCCAAACTCAAACCCAACCCCAATTTATTAAGCCTAACTTAACCCAACCCAACCCAACCCAACCCAAACATAACCTAACTTAACTCTTCCGAAATCTACCCATCACACGCCCCATCACACCGCCCTCTTCTTTGCGCACTATCTCTTTTGTTGCCCTATCTTTCATTTTATCTTTCACCTTATCTGCTACTCTAACTGCTGCTTTCTCCGCTACTCTATCTACTAGTCTCTCCACTACTCTATCCGGCACTTTATCCAATGCTTTATCCAGCACTTTATCTACCAATGTCCCGACTCCGCGTCCCTTCTTCTTTTTCCCTTGCGCTGGATTGCTGCATAAGCAACCTTTCCCACTAAATACGACCATCACTCCGATCACAATAAGAACGAACTGGACCAGTCCTGCTTTTGAAGATATGAACATACAAATTTGCTACCTCAAATA